CCAGCCGTAGAGAGACAGCACGGTATATGCTTGAAGTCCCTTGAAAGGAAATAGGGTGAGGGAAACTCAGTATTTTGACTGGATAGGAAATTTAAACTTAATGGAATGTATGGAATGTGCATTGTCAATGTATAAAATGGTATGGAATCCATTGGCGCGTGGCCACGTAATTTGGGAAAATATCCCTGCTGGTCCTTTCTCCACAGTACGGAAAGAAATACTTTGGACTACTTTTTCACTCATGGTCTCATGTGGTTTATTGGCATATCCAGGAGATGGAGCAAGCTTTTACTTGCAACAATGGTGCATCTGCCCCAGCTGCAACAAAACATTTCTCTCCTGTATTGGTTTTCACAGCCACAGCAAGCACTGTAACCTTCCAACCATGTGACTTCACATCCAAAGGCGCATTTCTCCATTGTCTCCTGAGACAGATAGATGCCAGCCAATCAGATGCAGCAGCTAGGTTCTTAAGGAGGGAGCAAGCTGGCACCTATGCAACCATTAAATATCTTGTGCTTATCCTGAAAGCAAAACAAAGCACTAATATTTTCCTTTCCTCACTAGCTCAGTTATGGCTTCACCGCCCGGCTTCTTGAAGGTAAAACTGAGTTTCCTTCCGTATACCAGATGTTCCCCAAAGAAGAATCTCAGTACAAGGGGATTGTTCAGTTGCTCCTGTACTTTGGATGGACATGGATCGGCCTCCTTGCTCCAGAGGATGACAGTGGAGAAAGGTTTGTGGGTGCTTTGACACCTCAGATGATCAGCAGTGGGATTTGCATCGCCTTCTCAAAAAGAATACCAGAAAATAATCTATATCTATTCATGAGCCTGAGTGAGCTATTTTTCATGAGGAGACAAGTCAGTGTAATTGTTTGCTATGTAACCAGTCTCAAGGGATTGGCACTCATCATGGCAGTAAACCAATTCTTTGAGAAGCAAACACAGGCAAAAGTCTGGATCACAACAACTTTTCAGGAAATCAATTCTGGCTCGTCATTTTCTCCTGCTTACTTCCAGTACCTCCATGGTTCTCTCTCCTTTGTAATGAAGACCAAAATAAGGAGCAACAAACATGACTACTATGAAGCAAACTCCCCGCTTCTTGATCACTTTTTGGCAGAAGCATTCCGTTGCTCTTATTCAAAACATACATTGTCCATGAAAAGCTGGGAAAGTTGCAGAGAGGAGGAGAGACTTGAGACTTTGCCCCAGGAGGAGCTGGAAAGAGCCCTGTCTCAAGACAGCTGCAGCACTTACGTCAATGTTCATGCTGTGGCTCAGGCCTTAAATGCTGCAGTTTCATCTAGGTCAAAGCAGATGATGGTGCTGAGTGAAGGAGATGAATGGGAGCATCACAGGCTACAGCCATGGCAGGTATTTTCTTCCTGCTTTTGCAAGCCACAAACCATTGTCATCATCATCATCATCATCATATGAAATATACTCAGAGTCGCAAAGTGATTTCATGCTCTTTATTCAGCTCATAGTGGTGAGGAGGAATGAATGAAAGTCCCCTCAAAGTATCTGCTTTATATACATTATTTACATAATGGGCTGCACATGATTGGCTAATTCCGGAATTCTACTGTAAGCTAATCAGGTTGTGGATTCACTTCTATCTGGAGCATGATTGGGTGGTTCCTGCCAACCAATCATACTGCTGCATTGTTGCGTGGCGATACCCGCCCCCTCCCACAGATGGAATAAATAAAGACACCGGACACCAGAATTTAGATTAATGGGCGAAAAATGGCCACAACTTTCTTGATTACAAGTAAGAGCGGTATTGGCCTTAGGCATTGGCCCTAACAGACTATCCGGTCTAACCGGGAAGGGTTAAGCACCAACAGGGGGAGCCCCCGAGATGCACATCCCTAGGCGCTCCCCAAGGTGTTACCGCTCGGGAGCGCGCTTTAGGCCCTAGCCTCCGTAGGTTTCGGACGAGGCGACGCCCCTCGGAGTCCTTTAACGAACTACCCTTCAAGAATTGGGGGAGGTGATGGCGATCCTCCCCCCGACCTCATTTGCATAACAATACCCCGGCCAATGCCTAACCGCCACACGAGCCAGGCTCGCCGCCAATACCCTCATACCTGTAACCAATCCCTGATTCCCTGAAAAATGTCGGCCAGCCAAATATCGTTACCCGCATCAGAGAGATGCACGCCATCCCCGCGATAGAGTGCTTCCTTGCTAAACTGGATGCACGGGTGTTCAATGACCCGCCCACCCATCGCAGCCACTCTACGCGCCACCGAGCGCTCCAGGATCCTCCTGGCTCTATTCACAGCCACGGGATTTGCGGCGTCCCGCCAACAGCGCCTCTCAAGCAAAGATGACCAGATTATTGTTATATTTGAATACGAAGCCTGCAACTCCTCCAGGTCATTGAAAATATTCCACATTAAGTCCACCCCTTTTCTATAAGCCAGGTCGTTCTCGCCCAGTTGGATGACCAGCGCCTCGGGTGGGCCTTCGGCTGCAATTCTTTTTGTTACTGCCGGGAAGAATTCTTCCCAACGCATTCCACGCCGTGCAATCCAGGACACTTCGACATTGCTAGGGAGTTGCAGGTCATCGCACCAGCCCCTGGTAACTGCGCGCAGTCTTGTCCAGTGTACAATACTGTGGCCAATGATCCAGAGACGCACCGCCCCGATACCTGAAATAAGAGAGTAAGAGAGCCGCGTCAGGGGGATTGATGGGGGAAGAGGGAGTTAACGTGGTTTCCGGATGTATCCCCTGTACGCGTTAGACGTCCACCGCCCCATGTCCATTATCCTCTCAGCCGGTAAACCCATGTGGACAGCGGTGGTCGCAGCCCCAATGCGGAAAGAGTGCGCGGCATAATCCTCAGGTGGAAGTCCAATGGCCGCGATCCCCTTGTGCATAACCCTCGTGAACTGGTGTTTTGACAGGTGAGAGCCATCGGCATGTATGAAGAAAGGGCCACTTGCTTTTGGTCTTAAGCACAGAAACTTTCTAGCGTCCTTTACCGGGCAACGGCCAGCCTTCTGAGTTGCCTGCAGGCAGATTAGAGCCCCTCTACCAAGTTGATCAGTCTTAGAGCTGCGGATTTTTAATATTACATCTGAGCTTGACAAGGTTACATCCTCTAACAGGAGCCCCCTATTGTTACTAGATGGCTGGTCCTCACAGACCACCTTGCCTATGCGTAAGGCGCCAAAGAAGGCGAAAGAAAATGCTGTGGAAAATAACCTGGCTTCATACCTGGACCAGCATATGACCCTGAGCTTCTTACGAATTTGCATGAGTATGTCATAAGTTATGGGCCTTCTGCTGTTGGAGTTAGGAGGCCGAGACCTGCGCCAGCCCTCCAGCATCTTCCACACCACGAGGTGTGCACAGGGGTCGACTGAGAACAGGACTTTGGAGAAGAACGATATTGCCGCTGAATGAATATTGAGGGTTTGGGGGGCCCGACCTAGATCGCAGAGGCGCACAAGATATTCTATGACCTCTGACTTAGACGGGGGCCTGCCTGGTTTAAACCGCTCTTTTTTCTGGCGAAAAGATGAGAAATCTAACCACGCCTTGTTATAGGATCTTAAGGTTGAGGGTGCAACTGCTGACAATACTCCCTTTATTGCTTCTCATTGCCAATACTCCAGAGGTGCTCCGGAAACGGCTGCAGCAGCTGCTGCGCATCTGGCACCAATGAGCGAAAGCGATCCATCTGGAAACGAGATAGAGCACCCGCAATGTTGTTATCAATACCCGGAACAAATCTGGCACAGGCATATAGGTTTAGCCAGAGGCAGGAAAGGACAAAATACCGCAGCAGCGACGCTACTCTGGGGGAATGTGAAGATTGCTTATTTAACACCGACACCACTGCTTGGTTGTCTGTCCAAAAGCAGACCCTATGGTCTTTAAATTGCTCAGCCCATATGTGAATTGCGACTACAATAGGGAAGAATTCTAAGAATGTTAAATCACGCAGTATGGGTTTACCCTGCCAGGATGAGGGCCATCGTTGTGCACACCACTGACCTCTGAAGTAGACACCGAATCCCAAGGAACCTGCCCCGTCTGAATGCACCTGGAAATCCGCTTGCAGGGTCATGCTATCTTGCCAAAGTGAAATACCATTATAGCCGTCTAAGAATTGCAGCCAAACCTGGAGATCTGATTTTACAGCCTTCGAGAGGCGCACCCTATGATGTGGCGACCGTAAACCTGCTGACAGCTTTGCCAACCATCCACAAAAGGGGCGACCGGGGGAAACTACACGGCACGCGAAGTTGAGGTGACCCAAGAGTGATTGAATTTGCTTCAGGGTAACCTTCCTTAGGGGCAGTATCTGTGAAATAAGCTCTTTTAGGGCAACCAACTTCTCGGTAGGTAGGCGGGAAGTTTGGGCAAGTGTGTCGAGTTCAATGCCCAAGTAAGCCATCGTGGTGACCGGGCCCTCCGTCTTCTCGTTTGCTAAAGGGACACCCAGCTCCTCGGCCATGGACTTGAAGGCCTGTACCAAGGCCTTGCAGCCATTTGCATTACTTGCAACCAAAATAAAGTCATCCAAGTAATGCCCCACCGCTTCGGAACCAGTTTTAAATTTCAGCGCCCATTCCAGGAAGGTGCTGAAAGTCTCAAAAGCGGCACAGGCAATCGAGCACCCCATAGGCATCGCTTTATCAATGAAATAAGCACCCTGGAATTTAAAACCTAACCAACGATAGTCCACTGGGTGAACTGGAAGAAGGCGAAATGCAGATTCGATGTCACATTTTGCCATAAAAGTGCCCCTACCAAATCCCCGGACCAACTTCACTGCTTGATCAAAAGATGCATACTTCACCGTGCACAGTTCTTGGGAGATAGCATCATTGACTGAAGCACCCTTGGGGTAAGAAAGGTTGTGTATCATCCGGAATTCCCCAGGGGCCTTTTTTGGGACAATGCCGAGCGGTGAAGTAAGTCCGCGAACGATGAAGGGGGGACGATGGCGGGAAGCGCTACACACAACGCGAATGCGGCTTTGCGCTCCAGCAAAGGACGGGGAAAAACTAACGAAGAAGCTAGGAAATAAGCTCCGAGGCAGAAAGCCCTTGCAAAATCCTAAGCAAAAGATCGCAGCGACAAAAAAGGTAGAGAATAAACCGCGACTGCTGCAAAGGAGGAAAAGGGGCGAGCCAGGGCTGCCCTGACCTTAAGTGCCCTTAGGTGGGCCCGCCCCCAGCGCCAGCCGATTGGCTGGCACTGCAGAAGATGAATACTAATGGAAATCCCTGAGTCCCGCAGGGCTGGCGCCAGCCCCGCAAGAATGTGGATGGGGGCGTGAGCCCGCAACCCCCCCCCTCCTTAGTTCGGGAGTGGCTTTCTAGGACCAGTCAGACTGCTGCATTCTGAATCCTATTGTTCTAGGACCAATCAGACTGCTACAGTTTGGATCCTATTCAACTCATTACATAGCATAATAATAATTTGTTGTTTATATCCCGCCCATCTGGCTGGGTTTCCCCAGCCACTTTGGGCAGCTTCCAACACAATATTAAAATACAGTAATGCATCAAACATTAAAAGCTTCCCTAAACAAGGCTGCCTTCAGATGTCGTCTAAAAGTCTGGTAGTTGTTGTTCTCTTTGACATCTGGTGGGAGGACATTCCACAAGCCTGGCACCACTACCAAGAAGGCCCTCTGCCTGGCTCCCTGTAACTTGGCTTCTCGCAGTGAGGGAACAGCCAGAAGGCCCTCGGCACTGGACCTCAGTGTCCGGGTAGAATGATGGGGGTGGAGATGCTCCTTCAGATATACTGGACTGAGGCCATTTAGGGCTTTAAAGATCAGCACCAACACTTTGAATTGTGCTCGGAAACGTACTGGGAGCCAATGTAGGCCTTTCAAGACCAGTGTTATGTGGTCTCGGTGGCCGCCCCCAGTCACCAGTCTAGCTGCCGCATTCTGGATTAGTTGTAATTTCTGGGTCACCTTCAAAGGTAGCCCCACATAGAGTTCATTGCAGTAGCCCAACTGTGGAATACAATGTAGTAGTGAAATATATTTTTTTTAAAAATGGCTCTTTTGGGGTTCCAGGTCCCATGGAAACCTGTACGTGAGAAAACCCCCTTCCCTAAATATGCATGAGGCAAAGGAGGTTCTTGGCAAAGATGCATGTCCCACACCTATGCTGATTTTGACTTTGGATAGACCTGTGACTGCCTTCTTTGCAGTGGGCCCTCTACTGTGAAATAATCTTCACTAGAGATAAAATGGGTGTCAGCTCGTTCCAATATGCCTATGCATAAGCACATTCCTGAGCACTGATTTTTAGGACCTCTCTGAGGTCCGGCGCTGATGGCCTTCTGGCAGTTCCCTCACTGTGAGAAGTGAAGTTACAGGGAACCAGACAAAGGGCCTTCTCGGTAGTGGCGCCCGCCCGCCCTGTGGAACGCCCTCCCATCAGATGTCAAGGAAATAAGCAATTATCTGACTTTTAGAAGACTTCAAGGAAGTTTTTAATGTTTTATTGTGTTTTCAATATTCTGTTGAGTGGCTGGGGAAGCCCAGCCAGATGGTTGGGGTATAAATATTATTATTATTATTATTATTATTATTATTATTATTAGGTTTAAAACAAGTATTATATTGTCTTTTGTACTAATCTTGTTCCGCAAAGCTCCTTGTTATTTTATATGAAAGGTGCTCTATAAATACTATAATCAATTTAAGAAAAGATTGCATGAATAGGACTTATGCTCTAGATGAGATGCAAACTGGCCCCAATTTATAAGAGCTTGAAGTGAGTGGATCTGTGGGATAACCAGCCTCATATAACCAACATGCTTAAGTCTAATTAATGCATGAAGGGGTTAATACCCCATAGTAAGTGGTCCTGCCAGGCTTAGCCTAGGTCACTTCTCCTCACCTTGGGAGGAAATAGGTAATCAAACCTATTGTTCACACACACCCTGAACTTGAGAAGGTCAGTGTGTGAAGAGGTTTGAGCTGGTTACTTCAACTGAACTGCAAGCCAATGATTTAGGATCTTGCACCACTTGGTAAGTAAGCTATGTTTTATTTCCTGTGCAAATTTCCGAAGCACATGAATCTGACCTTTGGGGAGTTTGTAAGTAAACAATTTTTAAACTTACCAAACATGTGGTGTTTTCCTATGCTGTGGGATGAAGGGAGCTTTGGAAAGATACTTTTAAAGGGGTCATTTTGGAGGAACATATTTTAAAGGTTTTACAGCCTATATTTCCATGCTTTACTTTGCTGCATGTTTTGTGATTTCAAATCTCTGCTGGAGTTCTCTCACCAAACCACACTTGCCTCCAGGATTTTTCCTTTCTGTATCTTTTTCCGCCCACCAACATATTCTGCATTGTCTCGTTCCTTAATGCTGGTATTTTCCTTGCCATTTCAGCTCTACCATTTCTTAAAAGAAATCCAGTGTTTGAATACTTCCATGGGCAGACCGTGTTTGGATGAGAATTGGGAGCTGCCACCTGACTTCGATATTGTGAACTGGCTGATGTTTCCCAATAACTCTCGTACTAGAGTGAAAATTGGGAATATAAGGGGAGCGGCATCAACCAACATGAAGTTCACCATTGACTCAAAAGACATTGAGTGGCCCAACCAATTTAAGAAGGTAGGGGATGTAAAGCAGCAGGGAGGTTAGGAGAGCCTGTTTACACTCTTCCTTGAGCAATTGCTGCAAAACGGTATTATAAGGTGGATCCATTTTGTCTCAGCTATCCAGTAACAGCTGCCACAGCAACTCCCTCTTGCCACGGCAGCTGAGACAGGAAGGGAATTTGGCATTCTGAAGGAACAGATAGAGCCCTGGGATCCTGAGAAGAGACACCAGATCCTTCTCAATTTACTTCTGGAGTTGGCATCACTCTGTCTTGGGAGACAATGGCACCTTCGGGGTGAAGTCAAACCATATATATATTAGGGTGGTTCACAACATAAAAATTCTGTGGAGCTCTAATGATTTCTTGAATAATTTGCATATGACTATGTGAAGTGGAGAGCATCTTATATCTCCACATATTTTGGAACCCTGGAAATTCAGAGTTCACAGGAGGCCTTACTACAACTCTAGGGGGCCCTGGGTGCAACGCAACTTCCGGTAGAAACTGGAAGTTGCTTTGGAGGCCTCATGAGACTTCCAGCATGACCTCTGAGTTCCCACAAGGCCTTGAAAGCACCGCTACAGTGTGCCGACATAACGTGACATCGTGAAATCACGACGTCACATTGTCATAACGTAACATTAAGTCGTTGGCGCCATTGGGCACTCATACGCTGGGGCCCAAGTCGGCGCCCTTGCTACAATGTCTGGCCAAAGGTGCAAAAGTAATACAGTAGATAAAATAAGTACATTTCTGTACGTTGTTCTATAGAAATAAATGTTACACTCCTGATACAAATGTGGTTATTCATAACTTACTACATTCTGTATATACTCATTGCAAATATCAATGTATTTGTCTTTGTTTTGACAAATACATTGATATTTGGAATGAGTATATACAGAATGTAGTCATGTAGTCAACACCTCTAAGTGATCCATTCATAAGCTGCGAGTGTCATCTTACTGATCCATTGATTAAAGGGTATCTTATCTTCATTCTTCCAGTTCATAAATATCAGTCTCTTGGCCACAGTAAGGGCATGTAGAATCCATTTTCATTGTCCAGATGTCAGCTTCCATACAATAGGTGTATATAGTTCAAAAGGATATTCTCCGCACGCAAAGTCCTTTTAATAATAATCCAGGAATCATTTTTAAGCACAGTGATACCTCGGGTTACATACGCTTCAGGTTACAGACTCTGCTAACCCAGAAATAGTACCTCGAGTTAAGAACTTTGCTTCAGGATGAGAACAGAAATCGTGCTCCCGCAGCACAGCGGCAGCGGGAGGCCCCATTAGCTAAAGTGGTGCTTCAGGTTAAGAACAGTTTCAGGTTAAGAACGGACCTCCGGAACGAATTAAGTACTTAACCCGAGGTACCACTGTAACTGCTTTGAAGTGGCAGTACTTTTAATAACTGCTCTCTATCAGTGTTTTCCTATTGCTATGATTAGAATCATGGAATTGTGGATGTCAGGGAACTGCCATCAGTGCCGGAGGGAGAGAGCAAAATCCAGAGGGATTCCAGAGAGCGTCCCGGGATTGGAAGAGGCAGCCCATCTTCTGGGAAGAGAATCAGCGTAGCACCAGTGGAGAAGGGGGGCAGATGGGGGAAGCAGCAAGGCGGTCCCATGACTCCTTGCCGGGGACCAGCGGGGAGAGTAGGGGTCCCCCGCTGCCTACGCCCTCCTTGCGCAGAAGGCTTTCGCGCAGAGAGAGTAGGAGGAGACTAGGTGTCAAAGAGCTTCTTTGCTGGAAGAAGTTTAAGAAGCGCTGACTGACGGATTCTGCCAGCGATTGAGACAGCCACGGGTGAGTGGCTGTCCGGACAGAAAAGGTTCACTCAGGCAACCCAGCCAGGTGTGGGCACCGGCTTACGCACGAGCAACCCCTAGAACCATTACAGTGGAGTTGGAAGAGACCCTGAGGGTCTTCTGGTCCAACTCCCTGCAATGCAGGAATCTCAACAAAATCATGTATGGGAGATGGCCATCCAGCCTCTACTTGAAAACCTCCAGGGGAGGAGAGACCACAATCTCTTGTGAGAGTCTTCCATGGTTAAACAGCTTTCATGGTCAGAAAGCTGTTTTGGTATAGTTTGTCCTCTTCCTTGAGTGTATTTCTGTATAGAAGGCAGGCACATAAATGGGTTCGGTGGAACTGGAGATCTTGTTGGGTCCATGCCAAACCCTATGAATTCCATAGACACAGATGCTTCTAACACTTTCTCCTCGGTGCACCTTCTTCTCTGCATGACTAGACTGTGCCTCGCTCCAGGTGTACCAAAAGCTGTCGGCCTGGATACACCAAGGTGGTTCAAGAAGGAGAGCCAATTTGCTGCTATGCTTGTGCTCCATGTGCAGAAGGGACCATCTCCACTCAGGAAGGTGGGTCATTCCAAGGGAGAGGGCGTTCCTTCGGAGAATAGAAATAAGGAAAAGAGTCACCCAGAAACACTATGTGCAGAGTAGTAATACATTTTTGAACATAGGTGTTTTATTGGCTTCTCTATTTTCAAGCACCACCCTTTCTTCCAGGAACTAAGCTGAAAGTAAGGAAGCAATCATTGCAGAACCATGTGGGTATCAGGGAGACAGCTTAGTATACATGCATGCATGCGCAGAAGCGCCGAATCGCAACCCGCGCGTGCGCTGACGTGCCACTGCGGGTTTTGAACGCTGCGGGTTGCAAACATGTGTCCCGCACGGATCACGTTCACAACCCAAGCGTCCACTGTACATAGTCTTTGACTATTTTCAGCTATGCTCTCAATGATCAAATAAACTGAATCACACCATAAAGGAAATTTATTTTTGAAGTGTGTGTGTGTGTGTGTGTGTGTGTGTGTGTGTAAGTAAGTTATAGAAGACAAAAGGGGAATAATTTTTAAAAGGAAATATTTAAAACAGTAAAGCAGAAACACAAACACAAAATATATAATGCATTATATGAAAATGATTACAAAACAAGCAGTGGACAATTTTGATCTGACTACCAGGAGCATTGCACAGAAGAAAGAGGAAACCGTTTGCATTAGCTACCAAAGAGATAACAAGAAATCATACAGAAAAAGTGAAATATGAGAAGGCAGTTAAACTTATAACAATCTTCTTCCAGTCCAGCTAACATAAAAATTATATGAGATGTTGGATAAATTTATCATTTACACTAGTTTTAAAAACACAATTACAAATTGCTCATTAGACAAGTCTCTCTCAGCCTAACGTACCTCACAGGTTTGTTGTAAATATAAAAAGGGCAGGAGGATATTCATGTATACTATCTTGAACCCTTTGGAGGAAAGGTAGTGGCTAAATGTAAAAATAAATAATCAAATAATAATAAACTGTCACAGGTCAATATAAAGAGGTGTGTCTTGCTTCTTAGGCAAAAAAATGTATGGTGAAGTTGCTGGACACACCTCTGTGGGGAGGTCACTGCATCAAAGCTTTGCCCTACATCACAAGGTTGTTTTGGCAATAAAAACTGAGGAAAACTTTGTGCCCCACCACTGTCTCCTCAGAAGAAAGGCAGGGTACAAATGTAAACTTCAATTAGCAATTGAACAAGCATTTTTTTGCCACACTTTCCGTATTCAACTGTCTTACTCCTTGACCTCCACCACGTCAACAAACCAAATAATGCCTTGATGCTGAAGCCAATTTTTTTCTCTTCCTTAGATGCAGAACATTGCACCAAATGTCCAGAAGATCAGCATCCAAGCGATAACAGAGATCAATGTGTCCCCAGGTTTATCACTTTCCTAGCTTATAAAGAACATTTGGGGATCATCTTAGTTTCCATTGCCCTTTCCTTATCTTTAACTACAGGCATTGTGTTAGTAATCTTCATTAAATACAAGGAGACTCCCATAGTGAAAGCCAACAACCGGGACCTCTCCTACATCCTCCTCCTCTCCCTCCTGCTTTCCTTTTTGTCCACCTTCCTGTTCATTGGGCAACCAAGGAAAGGGACCTGCCTTCTCCAACAAACAGCCTTCAGCATCATCTTCTCAGTTGCTGTTTCTTCTGTGTTAGCAAAAACCATCACTGTGGTGCTGGCCTTTCTGGCCACAAAGCCAGGAAACAGGGTGAGGAGATGGCTGGGGAAGAGTCTGACCACCTCCATTGTCATTTGCTGCTCCTGTGTTCAAGTTGTCATCTGCACCATCTGGCTGTGCTTGTCTCCTCCATTCCCTGACTCTGACATGCATTCCCGGGCTGGAGAGATCATCCTGCAATGCAATGAAGGATCTGCTGCGATGTTTTATATTGCCCTGGGCTACATGGGCTTCCTGGCTGCCATCTGCTTCACAGTGGCTTTCCTAGCCAGAAAGCTTCCAGGGTCCTTCAATGAAGCCAAGCTGATCACCTTCAGCATGCTGGTCTTCTGCAGTGTTTGGGTGTCCTTTGTGCCCACCTACCTGAGCACCAAGGGGAAATACACGGTAGCTGTGCAGATCTTCTCTATGTTGGCCTCCAGTGCTGGGCTTCTGGGCTGCATCTTCATGCCAAAATGCTACATTATTTTGCTGAGGCCTGATCTGAATACAAAGCAGCATCTGACAAGAGAAATTTAAGATGACACCTAATGCTTGAAACATTCCAGGCTGACAATGGGTAGCACTGTGATCATGTAGTCTTCAGATTATAGTTCCATATAGCTCTCTTTGTTTTGCATAAATTATGAATGATTAAAATGAATGTATTATAACTGCTTTGTCACTCCCTGATTGCCACTAAATACCTGATTAGCCACGTTGGCTTTTACGCTGCTAATCCTCATCTGAGTCAGATTCACTCTATCCTTTTATGACGTATGACTCAGGGAAATTGTAGCAAAAGCTTTGTTCCAGCAGATTATGCTTTGGAATTTGACTTAGGCCCACTTTGACGCCTCTCCGTGTGCTCTTTGGATGGGAGATGTTCACACACTCTTTAACCAACGTGCCAGCTCTTGTGAATTGGGTGTGGAAATGGTTTAGCACATAGTACTATACTATTCATA